AAAACTCAGAAACCAAATCAACCGGCCCCCCGGGTTTAGGGTTGGGCGGTGGGCTAACAACCCAGTCCCGGAAAAAACAGACCTGTTACAGAAACCACAACAACAAATCCAGAAAACAACTTGGCTCCGGAAGAGTCCTCTCCAGTAGAGCCTATGATGCGGGCTGGTGAAAGCCTTCGGGAAGCCAGTGCGAAGGCAACTCTTCCGACAGCCAAAAGCAAGATCAGAATAGGGACCTGGAACACCCGAACCCTATATGAGGCAGGGAAATCTACACAAGTGAGCAGGGAAATGCATCGCTACAACCTCAAGATGCTAGGGCTGAGTGAAACACACTGGAACGGCGCTGGACGAACGCGACTGACGAGTGGTGACACTATCATCTACTCCGGACATGAGGAAGGACACCCACACGTTCATGGAGTAGCCCTGCTTCTGACACCTGAGGCAGCACAGGCACTACTCGTCCGGGAGCCAGTATCACCGAGGCTCCTGACGGCAAGGTTCAATTCCAAGGGGAGGAAAGTTACCGTCATCCAGTGCTATGCACCCACCAACGCAGCAGAGACCGAGGAAAAGGAGGCATTCTACGAACAGCTCCAGGCAGTGATGGATAAGCTGCCAAGAAGAGACCTGAAGATTCTAATGGGTGACCTCAAAGCAAAAGTGGGGGCAGACAACACCAACAGAGAACTCGTCATGGGAAAACATGGAGCTGGCGTCCAGAACGAGAATGGAGAGCTACTTACTGAGTTCTGCACTTTCAATGACCTGGTCATTGGAGGCACCGTGTTCCAGCATAAGCAGATCCACAAGACGACTTGGACATCACCAGATGGGAGGACTGTGAACCAAATCGATCACGTCACCATCGGAAGAAAGTGGAGGAGAAGATTACTGGACGTCAGAGTCAAACGAGGAGCAGACGCAGCCTCGGACCATCACCTGGTGGTGGCAGACCTGAAAGTCAAGCTGAAAGTCTACAGAGATCGAGCAGACAGGCCATCTCACAAATACAACGTACACAACTTGAAAGACAAAACAAAGGCTGAGATCTACCAATGTGAACTGAGAAACCG